TCTATATAGGGAAATAAAACATATTTCTTTAAACAAGTTACAGGAATCACTACGACAAAGTAATTCCTTGTGTTTTATAGTCTTGTAAATTTTTAATCTAATGGAAGCAATTGGGAGATATTCTGTTACCATTGACGGAACCAGTACTTTGGTCGAAGTGTTCTACAAATTTAAGGTGTCTTACAAACTTGAGAGTTGTTTTAGTTCTATATTTATGCAAGACAAACTTTAGTTTTGAATTATACTAAAGCATTAGGAAAATTTTCTCTTTTAAAGAAAAAAAGAGAATATGTGTCTGGTAACTTTTTCTTCATAAAAATGGTAGGAACACAATTCTGGTCTCTATAGCATTTACATATGCAAACCTACTACCTTAGTAATGAAGCTAAATGGAGGACAAGTGGATAGAAGTGCCGTATTAATTTCATTTAAAGAAAGTCTGTCAATTACACTTATTCTCTTGTAAATTTATTTCCTAGAAATGTACCTGAAATCTATATATGCATTTTATTCGGTTGAATGTAAATTTACTACATCTTAGTAATTAAAAAAAAATATTGAAATGAAGGTTGATAATAATAAATAAATAATGATTTTAAACATATGTGAAAATTTCCTTGGAGTGAATTATACTGAGATATTTTGTCATTAAACATCTAAAAGTCTTCCAAATGATAAGCCAGTATAGACAAATAAGTAAACTTTCAGATATTTTAATAGATTTAGAAAAAAGAAGTGAATAGTTTAGCAGTTCTCTACAAGAAATAAATGTAGAAATCACATACAGATTTACTAGCCTTCTGTAAGAAGCAGAGGTGCAAAATGAAACCAATAACACCAGATTTCACAAATGTCAGATTAAACACTCACCACTCATAGAAGTCTAAAAGGTGTGCTAGAAACAAAGCAAAGTTGATTTTAGAACAAAGGAAAACCAGTAGAAAATAAACACGGTTCACAGTAGTATTGATATCTGGTAGAAAAATTGAAAAATAAATATAATTCAATGCTCATCAATATTGCTATGAAGAGATTGTATAAGTGGATGTAAACACAATTTATCACTGTATGAAAGAATATTACTAGAAGAAAATTCTAATAAATGACCTAGTCAGAGTGAGTTGTAATACAAAACTCCACAGATTCTCAGTCAACATTTCTCATGATTAATTTCTAATAAACATAAGTTGTTATGTCAGAATCAGATTTGAAACAAAAATGCTGTGTGTAAAGGTTAAAATGTTATGTATTAGGAACTCACTTTTATAGTCTCCGTTATTAATTATTGAATTTGCTTACCTGTTTCACTAGAAACAGCATCATGACACAGCTGGAAGGTGCGGGAGATATTCTGGACCAGAGTCCCATGCTGAAACAGAGACCAAAAAGTGTCGCCATGCCCATTCTAATAAATTGTTCCCTAATATGCTGCTATTTCACTCTACTATAGATTAGTTGTTTCACTCTTATCCTGTGGATAAAAAGTAAAACTACTTTTATGAGTGCAACTGTTTCATTAATCTTCTCAAAAATAATTGAGGAAGTCTGCTAAAGCATCTAGGCTTGCTAGACTCCAACTACATTTTGTTTTTTCTGGTTAAAGGCAGAGAGAATTTAAACTTCACTGCTTACTGTAGTTTGTCCTTTAGCCAATAAGAAGTCAGAAAACTGTTAAAACATTAGAGAGCTGTTTCTGTTCCCTTGAAACTCTGTGGGAATTTTGCCAGTGGTTTTGCAAGAATGGAATCCATCTCCCTAAATGCATATATATATTTATATACAACTCTTGAAACTATTAAGATATGCCCTAGAACACAGAAAAACTTTGTATTGGAGGCTTGCTGAACCTAGTTGGCTGTTAGGAAGCAGATCAGTAATAACTGGTTTTATCCTTTCTGAATATATTTTGTCAAATATGCGCAGTCAGTACAGGATCAGAGAGAATCTAAGTATACAAAAAATTATGTTACCAGTAGTTAAAGTTTTGCTACAGTTCTTGTGACATTCAGTGTTTTTTCACAGCTTCAGCTGTGAGGTTGGAGAAACTGTCAATGAATTTCAGATTTTATTTTCAAAAAATTGTTTGTAACTTTTCTAGTTGCAGATAAAAGCCTGTAAACATTAATAAACCTATGTATCATACAGGTTCAGGAAACAGAACCATTTATAATATAATAATTTTAGGGTCTAGCTTATGATTGTCAAGCTTTGAGTGGGCAATATGGAGAGTCAAGAAGATGTTATCTCCTCCGTTTCCAAGATAAATGAAACTTGTGACTATTCATACTGGAGAATGGCTCATGCCCTTCCCAGAACCTATGGGCATTCCAAGCAGCTAAGCTGTAGAACAGGCAGGGGTGCAACACTAGGACTGTGGAGGCCAGCAGTAGCCCAGTATTCAATGCCAGATGCAGACTAAACCCAAACTGTGTGGCAGATCCACCTTGCAGCACACCCTATCAGCCTGGCCAGCAGTGTGACCTCACTCCATATCTCATCTTTACATAAAGTCTGGATGTAGTAAAAAAGTGTACTGGGACATGGGGTATGGAAGTGCTCTGGAGACAAGTATTTCAGGGTGAAAACACATCCAGTCCACTCTAGAGGCCTGGCGGCACGTGCACTGGCTGCTCTGCACTGCTGTGCCTCCTGGATGGACACGTCAGTATACGTATTCCTCCCTACCACACCTAAGGGCAGCTCAGGGAGAGGCACTTCAAAGACCCTGTAGCAACTGTTCAAGTATGTATTTCTACAAGGGATAAAAGCACATTTTCTACTGGCCATATGAGTAAGATCAGCTCTGTAGCAGGTTAAAACCAGGAGACTTGAATAGTGCTCTGGGATTGGAGTTGTTCTGAGATCACCACAAGAAATGTCCTAGTGGTCAAGAAGCCCTGAGGTCTGCCTAAATCCTAGATAAGCAGATTCACAGGGTCTCCCATGGTGCATCCTCACCACTGCTCATTAGCATGCCAAGTTCTCAAATCTTCTTCATTGATAGCTAGCATCCAGAGCCTGAGGCTTTGTTTTCAGTTTTTGACTTCTACAAAAGTTGTTAGGTTTTACCTACTCACTTTTAAAAATCACCTGAAGTTGATATTTGAGCAAACCCTGTGGTCTCTCTCTAGAGTTAATGGTACTCCAGACTAGGTCAGTGCAAAAGACCCACATTAAGATATCTCCATATTGTAATTAAACTAATAAATTGGGGCACTAGGTGGTAAAAACAGAATGCAGAGTTGGAGTTTGAATTTCTGAGTTACTGTTCAGAGTTTTTACTAGACAACATAAATCAGGAAGGTCATAATGCTGAATGCTAGCCACAGCTGCCCACTTTCATTCACCCTCAACTTTAGTTCAGCAAAAATAACTGAATATGACACTTCGTTTGTGTTTGAAGGAAGCTAATCTATTTTCTCCTCTTTTATTTTTTTCTTTTTTCACAATATGAGAGATCTAACCAACAAATGCTCATGCAATACATTTCTCGTAGTATACAGAGCATTCTTACATGGTAAATTTATTTGAAATTTTGTGGTACCAACATTGACAGAGCATAAGCAGAAACTAGCTCAATGAAAAATCTTGGACTGCAGTTGTCAACCAGAAGATATCAATTGACAGAGCTTTTTCTGAAGTCTCCAGAGACATTCATATTCTAGTATGAGGTCTATTTAGTCAAAGACTACAACAATGCTATGACATTCATGCTGATTAAATTTTGTAATGGGCATAAATCTGTAAGGTTTGTACATATTGAAGAGATGTCAGTGTTATTCCCAAGTGAACTCAACTGCCTTGGGTCAGTGGTTTAACAGGCCTCAAAATATGTTTGAATACAGCCACAGGCAGATTACTGCTGGGAATAGGAACATAGATAAGTGTTTAATCCTTAAAATGACTTCCCTCCCTCCCTCCTTCCCACTCATCCTCTTCTCAGACTTGCTGGGCAGTTAGTAATGCTGTCCAGAAAGAGTGACAATGCACAGAGGCTTCAAGTTGAGTTCAAAATTGCTACCTCCTTGTGAAAATACAGTAACAGAAAACTGTAGGAAAAAATAACTCTTGGCTCAATCTACAATCTACTTTTCTGGGTTGTGACATTTGCTCTGCCTTTTTAGTCCAGACACCTGGACAGTCCAGACACACTTGATCTTTTATTCTGTTGCTGGCCAGCTCTTCAAGCTGCAATCTTTGTAACATTCCTCTGCCTTTTTAGTCCAGACACCTGCTTGATCTTTTATTCTGTTGCTGACCAGCTCTTCAAGCTGCAATCTTTGTAACATTCTAAAGCAGGTAATTATCCTGTTTCTTTGTTTCATGCTGGAACTTGTCTAGCCATCTGCTTCACCAACCCTGATATCTTCTAGGTAGAGAGCTGTCTTAAAAATCAGAATATTTTTCATTAAGAGATACATATGTGACTTCCGTGTCTGTCCTGTGGTATCACTCTCCCTTAGGGCATGCACTTTGGCCTTACAGTTGTAAAATGAACCAATCCTTTTATTAACACTCCTGCTCCTTCTGGTTCTTTGCATCACTTATTTGCACTATCTAACAGGCAGAAAGAGCAATGTATATAATATGTCAATGTGGGAAATGTTTCTTAGATGAAGGAAAAAAAAAAGGCTATTTCACGGAGAGAACAGGTGGACAGACAAAATGAGGATAATTCAGCTTTTTCTCTACTGTTTCACCTAACTTGGGCATGACTTCTATGATGTGATCATGGAGATAGACTGGACGGATCCCAGAAGCCCATCCATAGCAAATTCATGTAGCTTATGACTTTTGTTTGTCACTGGTGGAACTTCAAATAGATGAAATCACCTTCCCAGTGGTCTTGGAAAGTGCTATAATGCTGTGAAATGCTCTAACTTAACAATTGTTTTTGTCTCCTTAAGAATTTCTTTATAGTAAGATTCACAATTTAATCAGTGTTCAATGTAAAGGGAACATTTTTAACCACAAGATTTTATTTAATTCTTAGCTGAGAAATGGAGAAGTTCCATCAGTCTGACCACCTGCTGATAAAGGTAAAAATGAATATTTTGTTTCCATAAATAAAACTTTTTTTGTGCATCCTGGGGTACTTACAAGACTTCTGTGTTCTGTGTGTCTTTCTGTACTCCTATAATTCATGGGGCAAACTGTAATTTATTGTCTCACCTCCCCATATTTCTTTCACAAGACATTACTGCCAAACGACACTGTCCTATATCATTAATCTCTTCTGCCACATGATTTCTGGTCATGCCCATGTCTCTGCTTTCTTTCTTAACTACTAAGCTGGTATAGTTTTCTGAGAGGAACGAAGAATGGAATGGTAAATACAGCCAGGTTTTTCACCAGGCAGATACATACATGGCTTTGTAAAAGGTTGTTTCTAGAATAATTGATAGTGCAGTCCTGGAGGATGCCAGTTTCAGTTCCAGCTGCAGACAGATGGCAGAGAGCCTCAGCAGCATTTTCTCTTAGTTTTCTCTCTTTAGTCTTCTCTATCACAGCGTTCAGTAGCAGTTACTGGTGTGAAGGGACGAGAAAAGTTGCCAAAGCTTTCTGTTCAGGACACAGCAAAGGGGACCACTGCATCCGCTTTAATAGCCCTGATGCCAACAACAGCAATGCTGTGCAGTACATCTGGGAGACAGGAGATGACAAGTTTGTTGACCGAAAGTTTCATGCTGGGATTTGGTATTCCTGTGAAGAAATTATAAATGAAGAAGGTGAGTAAAACCACATAAATTTACTTAAGAAACTGATCGCAGTTCTTCTTACTTATTTGGTGTCACCTTTGTGTATGTATTTTAAAGAAAAAAGTATCCTTAAAAAGTTGCTCTTCTCTGGGAAGGGTGATCTTTGAGGGTACTTCCTAGTCAAGTCTTAAAAATTCCTAAAAGAAATCTGCAAAGAACATTAGAGTGACAGGTTGTAGTACAGATGAAGATTTTTTTTTTTAATTATTCTTCTAACCAGAACAGCCAGTTAAGTTACTTCAGAAAGTTTTTTATTTTTCTGCTGTTTTTAGTCCATAAGACAAAAATGAACATATTTGCCTGAAATGATTGCTTATGATCCCCTGTGGCAAAATAAAAAGCACAATGTGTTTTTTTTTGTTTCAAAAATAATTCGATCAACTAAATCTGTGAGATTTAAGTTATTTCATGGATTTTCTCTCAAGCACAAGTATTTCTACTTTCTTACTGTGATCTTACCTTTCATAAGTCAAAGTAGAAAATTATTTTCATCCCATTAAAACATAATTTGGAGAATTACTAGTCGTGATTGGTGGCATTTAAATGACTTTCACTTTGTATATGTAAATGTCAGTAGAATGAAATTAGCTTGCCATTCAAGATAGCTTTTAGTTAATTTTGGATCTTTGTATAAAGGAATTGTTTAGCTGGCCCAAGAAATAGGGCCTCTATTGCAAATCCAGATCAACACTAAGTTTTACCCCTTATTGTCCTGATCAGTTTATAAATGACAACTAGAACACAACTTCAGAGAAATCAAATCAGCTGTCATCTGTGCTATAAAATGCAAATAATTTCACAGTCATCTGTCCCGAAAGTTGAGTTCTACCAAAAGGTCTTGTAAGTTGTACGATTTTGAGGAGGTAAATGTCGAAGATCAGAGCAAAATAGACCTCCAAATGATATCTTTCCAGGGCTGTTTAATTTATGCATCTGCTATTCTTTTTATTTGGTGTGATTAGTAGCTGAAAAAAACCACCCTGTATTTTCAGAGTAGAGCAGAATTAATTCCAAGAGCTTTGTTCAAAGCATCTGTGTGGGGGTCAGGAGGTCACATGGGTTTGAAAATCAAAGCTTACAGAAAGAAATTGGAATCAAGCTTAGAAGAAATTTGTGTAAGCAGCAGCCTTGTTGCTGTAAGGAAAGCAGGTCTTCCTTCACAGGGAAGATAGTATACAAGCTGCCAGTCTTTCAAAGGAATTGCTGATTTTCCCATTCTGGCTTTCACAGCTGCAACCTTTTGGAAATAAATTCATAGCCTTTCTCTAAATCTCCCAGACTCTGCTTCTGCCTTAGAAAATCTGGAAGGATTCTCTAGCTAAGTCCCAGGAGTAGGTCTACGTACCAGGGACCCTGTGTATACAAATATACAACAGAAATAGTTTCTCTTGATCATCTCAGGTTGTGTTTTTATGAAAGATTTTGTGTTTTTTGCTTTCTAATATTTCTTTAGATCATTATAGAATACAAAATTATCCGGAATTTTATTTTTAAATAATTTTTTTATAGGTGAGAAATGTAGAAGCTTCATCAGTCTGACTCCAGCTGCTGATCGAGGTAGATATGCATTTATTGTTTGTGTAAATAAAACTTTCTTGATCACATTTACTCATATAAATGTGCTGTATTTTGATTTAAAAAGGGCTTGCTTTAATCTCATGGTTTTTTGTCCTTTATTTAGTTTTTCAACTTCAAAATTAAGTCACCATGACTTAAAATATAAATCTATGTCTTTTGAAAACATTAAACTTTAATAGGAATATTTTTAAAAGTTACTTTGAATATGGGTACTGGAAGTCAATATTTTTAAGTTTTTGCCCCCTCTTTCCTCATACCTCCTTAATCACAGAGTGCAGACTAGAGAGAACAGAGGGACAGGCAGTGTGTGAACAAGGACAGGCAGTATGATGAGGGGACTTTGGGGAGATGTGTTGTGGACCAAACCAGTCTTGATGGCAGTATGAATCATCTTTCTGTACCCAACACAGAGCTGTAAGGAGGCATTTCCATTCTCCTGAAAGCAGAGAGTTCTCCTCTTCCTTTCAAAGAACGGTTCACATTCCTATCAAAAATGCCTGTGGATATTGTTAAATGTCCCCCTCCAATGCATCACTGATGTGGTTAGACTAATCACTTTGTAAGGGGCTGATGCAGAAAAAAAAGTTTTCCTTCTTTCCCAGGAGGTTGAAACTGCATGTCTAGCATACTGGGACTGGAGTACTTTCCTGGGTATACAATTTCAGCCCCTTGGGGAAGATGACTCAATATCTGAAAGCTAGTCCTCCTTCTCTCTATTGCAGCTTGTCACTGTGCATAAATAATACAAGATTTTTATAGAATGAGAAAAAAAAATAAATGAGATGTGGTTAGCCACACGGACACAGTCCTCAGAAAGAAGGGCTGGACTATGGACCCTGCCCTGTTCACCTGTGAAATAACTCTTGGATATAGTGCTGAAATTAACTCTATGAACAACATCAGCAAATGCCACAGGGACCTGCGGATCAGATCAAGACAGCTAAGATAGTATCAGTACCAGCAGTACCTGATAACCATACTGAGAAGCTATCCCTGGGTAGTGAAATACTGTGTGGAAATAGTCTGCTGCCTTACACAGAAGAGCGAGTTTGAGTTCTGCACTTGCATAAGGCTGCTGTGTGCACAAAAGTCAGGATGCATGACACGAGGCTCAACTCTCTTGAATTTATCATTCCTAGGCATCATACACAGGGACTATCACAATTGTCCAGTGCATGTGTAAAGATGGCTCACATCAAAAATGTCAATATGCAGGCTCTCGCATCTGGAGCAGCCAGTGCTGTTGGGTAACATAACATTTAGAGTTCCTGAACAAGATCAGAATTTTTTACTGGGACAAAGATTTGCTGGAGAAATAAACCTTGCCCATGTACCTCCACACGTGGCCTGGCCCAAGAATTTAATGTCTAAATAACCTTTGAATCAGAGAAGTCCCACAGCCACTGTCAAAGCCTGAAGTAGGGATTATTTACCACATAAACATTGTTTAATGCTATATGTGGTGTTTAGTAATCAATTACATGTCTTAGCAATATTTCTGTTTTGAAGTTACAATTTTTAGCATATACATCCACATGAAATCACAATTTGAATCTACAACTAGGTGTTTCAGGACCTTTTATATTAACTTTGGTTCATGGTAATTTTAGGGTAGCTACTAAGTATAAAACCATACTACTCCACCTTGTACTGTAAGTTTCTTAAGTTTCTAGC